TGATATTTATTCTTAGTTTTATTATTATTTTTTTGTTAAGCCAGTTCATTTTTATTTATTTTAAACAAAAGTAAATCTGCATTTACAGAGTATCTTACAGCCGTTCAACGCGCTGTGGCTTATTGTTGCTGACACTGTTGCCGCTGTCAAGGAATACACGTTCAGCTCCGCTCGTATGAGTTGCTGCAACAGCTGGCGAGGGAAACGAGCGGTCGGCGGCGGGAAATGACTATGGCAACTGTGGACGCTGCCTCGTTTGGCGTTTTCATTTACGGAGCCGCCAGAGTCGAGACGAAGACGATGACAACAAATGCAAATGCAAATGCAGCGCCAGGGCCAGCCGGGCCAAGACACGCGCCTTTCTGACAGCCACAGCCACAGCAACAGCAACAGCAGCAACAACGTTCACATTAGCAACAGCAACAGCAACAGCAACAGCAGCAACATTACAAGCAACAGCAATGGCAGCAGCAGCAGCAACAGCAACAGCAACATCTTCTGCAGTTACAACAGCTACGGTGTCAAATGCACTTCCAATTTATCAGCTCCTGGCCTCAGACACACTCCACACATGCCGTTGCCTCGGCTGTTGCTGTTGCTGTTGCTGTTGCTGTTGCAACATGGGGCAACTTCAAAGCGTTGCTGTCGCTGCGCATTTTCCATTTATTGCCACACTTTGAAGGCGGCAACTGCATATTAGTCGCATATCTGTTGAAATTCACGGCAATTAGTTGCCATGTTATTGTTGCTGCACACTTAATGGAAGTTTGTTATCAGCTGGTCTAATTATACTCTGACTGCCAACGTTTGCAGCATAGCCACAAAAATTGCCCCTAAGTGGCCTGAGTAGCTATTACTTATGCCATGATAGACTACACGCAACGATATGAGTCTATCTATATCCAAGGATGTATATATATGAGTCTTATGATAATGAAAATAACTAATAAATTAATAAATAAATATATATGAATGTTATGTGAATTAAAACTGTCTGTCTCTCACTTGCTCTGCTCTTCCATTTTAATAAGCCGAAATGGGGCTATGGCGCTTGCTTTTGCAACTTATCATTCAGGATTTGGTCGTTTGTCACATCCGGAATAACTCTTTAGTTGCGCTTCTCTTCTTTTTTGGGTACTGTCAAATTGTGTCACAACTATTTCATTATCCGTTCGAGACAAAGCGGCGCCAGCCATCCCCAGCCCAGCCTCGCATATGGCCAAAAGGGCTCGTTGCAGCACATTTTTGTGCAAATCCTTGTGATTGCAATGAATAATATTTTTAATGCAAATAACCAGAGGAGCGTCAAGCTGAAGGAGAGGCAGCCGATGTTGGCCGGGACGACAAGTTGACAGGCCCGTTGACAGCGAACGAGGCAACGAGGAGGAGCAGAAGCAGCAGGAGAAGCAGCAGGAGAAGCAGCAGGAGGAGGAGGAGGAGGAGGATGCCAGTCCAGGCAATGGCAAGCAAATGCTCGCCCACATTTCATTCGTTTTCTTTTCCATTTCAATTGTCGTCAAGATTGTAGCAATTGTCCCTGCGCCCCCCTCGACGACCCACAGAGCCTTTCGCTGGCGCAATGAATCGTCCATAGTCCGGTAATGAAATTTTGCTCATTGTTTCAGTACGTTCGAGGCAATTTTTGAAGCGAATGCCAAAGTTCTGTAGCGCAGTTTCAACAGAAAATCGCTACGAAATATACAGCTGAATGAATAGAAGATTTACAGCAGAGCATTTACAAGGGGAGATTTGTAAGAGCAGATTTACAAGGGATTTCCATGCAGAACAATATACAATGTATATTCGCTTACAAATATTTAATTGCAACTTTGTTGATTTCGATTGTCGAAACGAATGGCTTTAAAAATTCATGCACATATATTTACTTATGTTTGGCTGGCTGGGCTCTCATTGCGCTCATCTCTTATGCTCATCGGCTTGTGAACATTGTCATCGTTGTCGTCATTGTCATCTGAAATTCATTACGAACTCTCCCTCTCTCTCCCTGCTTGTGGATGATGGGCGTGTCCATGGGCAGCTAGTTACTCGGGCTGCACTTTATTATTATTCATAGCAAGTAATTTGTTATCTGTGCTGCTCTCATTGTTTTTAGCCTTATGATAGCATTAATAGTAATTTGTTTGTTGCAAAATGAAATTGCACTTTTGCATGTGTCGTCGTTTATTCTAGAAATTTGGGTCAGATCCCTTTATAATAAGCAAATGTGTTTAGTAGACATACGCAGAGAGAAGGATATATCTATGTATGTATATTCGTATGTATATATATGTATGTACTTAGTATCTTGCCCATTTTGGTTTATTTATTTTATTTTCCACAACATTGACGACGTAACCTAATTTGTCGATGCCCTCACCTCCCGCACCCGTTCCAACTCCTGCTATCGTTCCAGCTCCTGCTCCTGCTCCTGCTCCTGCTCCTGCTCTGTCCCAAAGTACATTTCTGTCTGTTACTAATTTATGCAAAAATCGACCCCAACAAGCCAACTGGCCATATTTTAGCTATTCAACACACATACACACACACATGCACACGCACACATACTATGCAAATTTTTCGTATTAGAACACAGGTTTATATGTCGAACACGACCAAATTCACATCAGCAGGCAGCCCAAACATAACTAACATAACTGACATATTGTATGCTAATGCTATAATGAATGTAAGAGTATGTATTTGCAATATGCACATACATACACACACGCATGCATATCTATGTGCCTATGAGTGCAGTATGGCAATGCAGCGCCAGGGCCACCACACAAAGAGTTTAATTTAATGTTAGTAATTTAGAGAAATTGCACAATATAAAATCTACACAAAGGACTTGCATTGATTCTCGTGAATAATAAGCCTTGTGCTAAATTAAATATTCAATAAATGATTTTATCTTTTGAAAAATATTTTCAATGCATTCACTAAAGCATTGCACCATTTAAGGTGTGAATTTAATAAAACTGAATGCAAATTAAATTTCAGCTCGGATTTAATATGAGGCTTGCCTTAAAGACAAATTTAATTATGTGCCTAAAATGATTCGAGTTGAATGAAAAGCCAAATATAATGTAATTATATTTGATGTATATAAACTGCAAATATTGAAATGGAAGACAGTGAAAATGTTTACTCAGCAATACTTGCACCTAGTGCTGGGAAAAAGATCGATCTAGCAAACGATATATCGATGTTTCATATCCATCGAAAATATCGATGTAGAAAACTTCGATACTTGATATATCGCCATCACTATACCATTAATTCCCCATCACTTGAATTAAAAGCGTGGGATAAGACTGTCAGGTAATTTGCAAATTATTTTAACAATATAATTCAAATACTAACGTAACCCACTTTTCATTTAGGATTTTGGTGTTGGTAGTGTTGTAGAGAAATGGATAAGTTTTTAAAGAGCAAGGACAATGGCGAAGGTAAATATTATTTTACTGCTTATGTCAGCCACACACGTGGTCTGCAGCTTTTGCGTTTTAAAATAATGTAACAAACACGCATTTGTTTGTAGATTGCGACG